GTTAGTTAGTTAGTTAGTTAGTTAGTTTAGTTAGTTAGTTTAGTTAGGTTAGTTTAGTTAGTTAGTTAGTTAGTTAGTTAGTTAGTTATTACGTACTACACACACACACACACACACACACACACACACACACACACACACACACACACACACACACACACACACATATATATTATTATATATATATATATATATATATATATATATATATATATATATATATATATGGGGTGCCACATTCACTCTTCCCTTCTTTCTTGCTTTTATGTTCCTGCCTTAGCGAGTGGAAGTACCTGTTGATCAGCAATGCCACTGTCACTGATGCCAACGGCACAATTTCCACAGTAGTCAACGATGCAGATCCTGGCGTGTTAGGGCTTGCCAACGGTATGTGTGCGTTGTTTGTGAGCAGTATGGAATGCTTATACATGATTTTTTTTTAGTATGAGTGTCTTGTATGCTTGTATTGTGATGTGTATGTGCCTGTTGGGGTTTGGGTGTGAATATGTCCGATATGCTAATTGGTCAATAGCAGGAGTGCTGTATACACTTTGACTGCCATTGCGACATACTTTGGTTTTTGCCGCTCTTCCGTCCGAATTCGTGTACCTGCTTGTTTACATGCACACGCGAGGATCTGTTCATAAGGGTTGTTGCTTGTTGGATTGATTTTATGCCTATGTTCGTCATGCACATATAGTGTTAATCCCAAACTACTGTATTCTCTTTTTTCTCCAAATTATCCATTGGTCCTATATCACATTTTTCAATGCATCTTCTAGCATTAGAAATTCGTGGCTATAATCTCATACCCCCATCTGGCCTATACACATCTGCACAGGCTCGGTTGTGCCCATGTCTGCGTTGCCCATTGTGGTTGACCAGACCAGTGTGGTGTTTGCACCGAAAGCCGGGTATTTTGGGTCCGTCACCATCCGGGTGCAGCGGTTGTCTGTGGACTCGCTGACCCCTACTGAGGTACGTGCGTATGTGGCAATGATCTGTTCCGCGTGGGAATGTACTGGTTAATAATGGATACACTGTGTAGAGTTTTAGGGGGTTGTTCTAAAAAACCCTAAAAGTTCTCCCTAGAAGTTGTAGAGCTCGTCTTTCTCCGATTTAATTTCTACACTACCCTATATTCGTAGTATCAGCTATTCTTTGTATTTGCTTCACTCTCTACCGGCCGAAGGTCAACGTTTATATCTTCTCCCATGTGTGTGTGGGTCTGTGCGCTCATCTCATACGCTTTCTCGCTGAACAGTTGTACTTCAATATAGTCTGTCGTTTACTATTGTGCATTTACACGTCTGTGCGTCCACACTCTGCGGTTGGCTACGCATACGCCGTGGTTGGGTTGTCTAGCTCCTGATACTTATACGATCAATTCTGATCTATAACAAAAAACCCCACATACATATCTGAAATATATTCTTATCTGGAAACCAGAAAATATATATTTAGCTTCGGAAAGCAGAGGCTTGAATACAGATGAGGCAAGACAACGTTTTTTGGAATTGCTTTTAGGATTCAAGGATTTTAAAGTTTGGAGTTTTAGGGTTAGCCAATGCTTAAAACTAGACCTGAATAATTGTCTGTCGCTCATTCGTTGTGACTGTCACTGTGCAGAATGAGACGACTGATTACATGAACATGCAAATGGATATCATGAAGAACTGGGCCCCACAGGCGGGCAATGCAGGGTATGTGGTGGTGTGCACGGTGCACGAATCAACAAGCAGTGTGGTATGGTACAGGTACAGTGCAATGTTGCAAGTGGTATGTGATAGGAATGTGATTTTCTGAGTACAGTGCAATGGTGCAAGTGGTATGTGATAGGAATGTGATTGTCTGAGTACAGTGCAATGGTACTAGTGATATGTGATAGGAATGTGATTGTCTGAGTACAGTGCAATGGTGCAAGTGGTATGTGATAGGAATGTGATTGTCTGAGTACAGTGCAATGGTGCAAGTGGTATGTGATAGGAATGTGATTTTCTGAGTACAGTGCAATGGTGCAAGTGGTATGTGATAGGAATGTGATTTTCTGAGTACAGTGCAATGGTACTAGTGGTATGTGATAGGAATGTGATTGTGCAAGTAGTATACTGTGCTATATCTGGTAACCGATGGTGACTGGTTCTGCTAGAGGAGTATGGAGTATGAATGAACAAGCAGTAAATGTAGAATGCAATGGTACAAGTACTATATGATAGGGTCATGATAACACATAAATTTAAATGTCATAATTGTTACCGGACATGTCGTTTGTTGGCAGGTATGCCATCGAGTGCACCAGCATGTACTACCTGCACACACGAATACTTTAAATATCGTTACTGTGATCATGAGTGATGAATTTACAGGCAGCCCACGGGGTACAATAACATTGATGGTCGTGAATATGAACACTCACATGTTGTAATTAATATCGAACATGTTGTTTATTGGCAGATATGCCATAGAGTGCGACGGGTTTAACGACTACTTGTATGCGCCGTATTTCAAATGGCCTGTCGGTAATTATACCTCAGTGGTTGACAATATCACGCGGTTTGGCGGAGGACCAATCACAGTCGAAGGATGGAGTTACGTTATCAAAGACCACGTGGCCGACAGGTACAGTGATATATAAATATAACCACCTTGTATTGCATTGTAAGAAGACTAGAGTATTGCCTTGTATTACTGTGCAGGAGAACCCATTCAAATATTCAAAATAAACCTCGCTTATTGCTTACAGGTTACAGGTTGCATAATTTGTTACATCGGTGTGATACTCTCTCTATAGCGCTTGTTCTTTTTCGTATTGTTATATCATATTTCCTGCGAGTGTTTTGCACCTCCTGTCGTCAGTTCGAACAGACCGTCTAAAGAGGTGGTTTGCTTTGTTTGCACACCCTTTTAAAGGGGTCGCCTGTCCTTCTTTCATGACTGTGCTGCACGCCTTCTAAAGGAGTTGTTTGTTCTTTGTAAATGGTTGTACACTACACCCCTTTCAAATGGATAGTCCTGTCCTGCTAACATTATTGCGTGCACCTTTTAAAGGGGTTGTTTGTTCTTTGTAAATGGTTGTACACTACACACCTTTCAAATGGATAGTCCTGTCCTTCTAACATTGTCGAGTTCCACCTTTTAACGGGGTTGTTTGTTCTTTGTAAATGGTTGTACACTACACACCTTTCCAATGGATAGTCCTGTCCTTCTAACATTGTTGAGTGTACCTTTTAAAGGGGTTGCTTGTTCTTTGTAAATGGTTGTACACTACACATCTTTCAAATGGATAGTCCTGTCCTTCTAACATCGTTGTGCCATAGGTCTGCTCTGTTGGTCTGATATCATTGTGTGTCTCACACTCTTTTGTTTGCGGTTGCAGTGTCGTGTGGTCCATTGGGTCGGGTGAACAGGCGAAGTGGAATACCGACGAACGCAATCCGTACAAGAAAACGGGCAGGTGTGTGGTATTGCCATAGCTGTGTAAGCTGTGCATACGTATCTGTTCCATGCATCTGCGTGCGCCACGCTTGTCTTATGTATTGAATACCTGCACATGGGCATAGTAGAAGCTGATGAAACGTCACGTGCACACTGTATATGTGTATTAACTTACACACATGGACATCTGTAGTATTCATATATCGCAAGCACACACATGTATGTATACCGATAGCTTGCACACACCTACAACCACATCACTAGCATGCACGAAGTACTCACCCACACGCCCGTCAATTGTCACTTACCCTCTCCAAGGCAATGCACCAGACACAGTGATGCTGTGATGGCCCCTGTGGGTGTGCGTGAGACATGTCTGATCGCTACGCATTTGTGTATGAAAGTACGTTTTGTAGCGCATAATTACATTGTAGTTGTTCGGCACACGCCCTCATTGCATGCCCACGCGCGTGTCGCTATGGATATTGTGGTATCGTATGCTGTCATCCATGTTTGGTTGTTGTGGTGCACTGTCTTTTGGTTGGACCATTTTTTCCTCTTGTATAAACCCTAAAAACTTGTACTCTACAGATTGATGTTTGCCATGCCCAGTTCAGCACGGCCGCAAAAGTTCCGTTTCGATGTGGGCAGTCTCTCACGCACCAGTGGTATGACCTAAGCTAGACTGTCCATGAGTCACATACACGCCATACGTTTATGACATCTAATTGCATACATATGTTTATTATAACTAGCTACACACTTAACGTTTATTGCAACTATTTGCGCACATACGTGTATTACAACTAAATTCATAAGAACTATCATTGTAATTGGTTGCATGCATGCTAATATGATGTACACGCGATCGCTACGTTATAAAGAGGCCTCGTACGTACACACACACCCCACGGTGGACAATTGCTGGAGTCTCTATCTTCGTTTATGTCTCAGTTTGCTGCACAAAACGTCACGCCTGCGTAGTCTGCGCATGAGTATCAAGCGATATGTTAATGGATAGGCATGTGTGCTGTGTATGGCTACGTTTGGCGTATAGCGTGTGTGTTGGTGATGTAGTGAGACGTTGGGGCTACGGCTACTTTACTTGGAAGTGTATACAGACTTACACCACCCATACCTCCGCTTCATATTGGCTGTTCTCAGATAGCTGTACGATTACAGCGCACTAAAACATCAGATGGTTGTGACGGATACTTCACATGCCAAGCCTTAAACCCTAAACCCTAAACTCTAAACCCTACACATACTAAACTCGTCCTCTCCATCACCTGCAGCCGCGGTGACAGACTTAGGCGGCACTTGGGTCCACTTCGCGGTGGTGCATTCACAGGTATACATATATATATATGTTCCAAATGATGCGTGGATGTGCTTATCTGTATCTACATACGTATGTACATGTGTGTGCCTACGTGTATGTAGATGAGCATTTATATAAAATAGGGGTATAGGCTATAAAGAGGTAGATATGAATCCAGTATAATTCTGACATGCCTACGGATATGTATATACCTCTGCGCTCGAATGGCGAACGGCTCCTCAGGGCTATCGCCACTCAAGACACACCCATGGTACGCATGAAGTACTTGTTGGGCAGTGCGATAGAGTGCACAACTATTGTGTGTGTGCAAGTACCAGCTATGTAGCCGTCTGAAAAATTGCGAGCACTGTAGCACATAACGTATGTCTACATAATATCGATACTACAAAACATGTATATTTAACAAAGCCGTCTGTTTGATATATGTATGTGTACGCAACTCGTATACACACAGAGGACATATGTACATATTAAAATAACAGAGTGCATGACATGTTTTTGACACAAATAACTGATGAACATATCACAATGTCATTACAAACCATGGCTGATAAAACAAACGTGCATGCACGCTCATCCGCAGGTGTCTGGGACCAGTTCGTTGGTGTATCTCAATGGGCAGTTGGCGTCCAGTACAACGCACAACCACACAGGCGTAGGCACACTGCGCGATAGCAACGAGGGTGCGCAAGCACCCCATCAACGCCGAGTAGAGGTACGAGAGTAT